GAATTTAAAATTTTTCATGTTTTACATTGCAAAATAGTATAAATTAACACCTTCTTCAAAATTCAAAAATTAAATTATTATGAGTGGAATAATAAAAAGATTTCAGGGAATAAGAAAAGACTGAAATGAAATATTGCAATTTAGACAATGTGTTCATATTAAAGATCTAAACTAACACAAGAAAATATATAAGAAAGGCTGAGCTGTTAAGAAAAAACAACTAACGGAAATGTTAAAACATGGAGACGAAAGATAAACCAGAAAGAGGATGGAGAGATGTGGCTAACGACTTGTCACGTGTATGCTTGTGTATATAAATAGTAGGACAAGCAAACTGGGGGAGATAAGGCACGGAGGAGAAACGCAAAGCAGGGTAACTCTGATAAGACACGGATTCAAGTATGGACGTGCAAAGCACAAAAAAATGATGATAATAAACACGAAAACAGGGAAGGAGAAAAAGATGACTATGATAAATAGCAAACATTTCAGCAAATACTCCCATTTACATGTTGAGTACAATGCAAATGCAAACAATGGTGCAATTGTCTTGAATTTCGCTTCACTGTTTCCAATCAGTGGAGCATAAAGGTGTTATTAGAAATCAGGTGTAGGCATGCTTACTACCACTGTACTTTGCTCTAAATAGATCAACCGATGCATAAAATGGAAGATCTATTTACAGTTCGTTAGTTTATAAACACGTAAATCCTATAGAATTATAACAACACAACAATTCATGATATATTCTAATATGTTATAAATGAGGAAAAGGAAAAATCTGAAGTTAAATTTATACATCCTAAGTGGAAATTCTTATTGGTATTGACAAGTCTACCACAAAATTTTATTTTAAAAATTAATGTAAGGTAAAGCCACGATAACATATTTTCTATCAATTGTATAAAATTTGTGATGGAATATAATAACAGAAATAAAAATGCATAAAGGATTTATTTAAAATTAACGTTCATTTAATATCATACCTACCTCTGATTTTCCTTTAACTTTACACATATTAATGTCATTTTCACCCGCATACCATTCCAATCTCTAAAAGAAAAAGCAAACAGGAAAAAAAGAATTAAACTTCAAATAAAAAATTTCTAATATCAATATACAAAGAAAACAGTCATTACATCAATGTGCAAGAATTTGTCACCAAAAACACTTTCATTTGCACTTCTTTTTTGTGTATATATAATGCAGATGTCTCTTTTAGTCCATCAACATTCTTGTGATGAACAGAAGAAGCATAATCCCATGACAGACTACATAAAGCATCGGTTTAAATGTTATACACATTCAGCATTGTTCCTATCTCTATTGATGGATGCAATCATAATAATCTGCTTAACTGTGATTTAGAGGAACAAAGACGAAAAGAAGAAATAGGAGAATAGCAAAGTGAGATGTAAGGACTGAAAAAAGTGTAAGTAAACAGGAGTGTAAAGGAAGAAAATTGAGGTATGGGAGAAAAAAAGGACTGGATAAAAAATAGGGAGTGAAGAGAGAAAAAAATCAATGAGGCATGTAAGAAAAATTAAATGAAATTAAATATACATACAAAAAAAGTATTATTTTAATGGATCAAATAGTAAAGTTCTCTAAAACATATGCTCAAGAATAGAATGTAATTATATTATAGCCGGAACATATATAAAAGATATAATAGAGATTATCTGACAATCAATGAATTTGTAAAGGGTGTACAAAATACAAAGGAAGGTTATCTGTTTAATCTAATTAATTCAGAGGGAAACTTAAGATCCGTTGTTCACACGCTTCTCTTAAGTCATCTTGCTTTACAAATAATTCAAGAATTACAAGACGGATAAACTCTTAAAATTCTAGCTTGTGTGTAATTTTAAAAAAAAAAAAAAAAATAAATGTATTATCCTATTGATCAAATGGAGCTTGATTGATAACGCTACGATTGCAAGAGCCGCCAACGTCCTGATATATAGTAACTGGATCCGTTGCACGGCAACTCTAGGTGCAAACCACGCAACTGGAGGGTGGACAGTCGTCCAATGCACTCGGAGGGGCTTGTTTACGTTCTTCAGACGCTTGACCTAAATGTTTTCCTGGAGTAAAATGGAAAAATATTGCGTAATTCTTGGTTTTCGGAAAATATTACTGTAATATTTTTGTTTCGAGTTTCAGTTTTCAGTGCTTTGTAGCAAGATGTACACGCTCCGTACGGGTTTTAATATGACGTTGCACAATGAAGTACGCGGTTTAAAATTGCTGCAATTTTCAATTCTTATCGCTCAAGGCTTAAATACCGATGCTAATTAACCAATAAATGTTTTCGTATACTACAACATTACTTTCGTCGATATGCAATAAGTATTCAGCTGTGTAAATTGAACTTATCGCAGCTACTTGAACAATTTGGCACATTAAATTTATGCCTAAACCGTGACGCCAACTTTAAAAAATATCTTGTTAATTAAGGTTATTCACCGTTGTATAGATATGCGAAGGCGTTGTAAAACTCTCGATAGCTCAGAAAGCCACCGTCTGCAAAGAGAAGCGGGAGAAAAAAAAAGTAGAATAAAAAGGAAGGAAAAAAAATAGGAGAAATCCCCGGCAGCGCGGCGACCCTCTATCTGCAGAAGGAGAGAAAAGCAAGCAATAAATCAGTCGCTTCTGTACTCTCTCCATTGTGCCCGTGGCTGATGAGGTGCTGTGTATTCATGGGGTATAGACGACAGTACAAGAAAGGGACTGCAGCGCAAAACTAACGATGATTGCCAGTTTAATTTTGCTAGCTGCGATAAGAGAGGGTTTTAGTCTCGCTTGGTAGTAAAGGGTTAGAGGGGGAAAAGTCGTTTTACCGTATCGGACGTCGCTTAATCGTGTCTGGTTATCGCTGGCGACATCATTCAATCTCGACCCCTCCTCTCTATTCCCCCCTCTTCTATTCGCAACCCAAGCACAAGAATTGCGTAAAGGCGCAACTTTATCTTAAAACTGATGGATAAAGCCACTAGTATTGTTACGATAAAACGAGATAAGTGATAGGAACAAACACGGAAAAAAAGAATTTACAACAGCTGCTTACCTTTTTCTCCTGTAATGTTCCGATGCTAATGTTGTAAACGATATTCCTAACGGAAAAATAAATAAAAAAAATCTTTTGTTAATAAAACATCCCTTAAAATATTCTCCAATGCTGTTATTTATTTATTATTTTTTTTTTAATTTTGTTACAAACACACAGAAAAGATAAGATTATTTTTTGGTTAGACAAAAAGTAATGAAAATAAAACGAATGGTTTCCATCGTAAATAGTATAAGTCAAAATAAACAAAATATTGCCTAGAAAGCAGAACGTTCCTAAACCATAAAACCCGGTTGAGATGCCCAGAAATAGATTTTTTGAAAGTCAAATGTTGATCGACTCCCGATTGCAGTTGATTTATCTTTAAAAGTGTAAAGGAAAAAAAAGTAAAATAAAATAATATCATAAATGCAAAAGATGGATGATACACGTACAGATAGAAATGTTTAAGAGCCTACATATAAAGTTATTCTGGCATTTTTACGTGAGAGCGACGTTAGAAAAAAAGCTAAATTTCCCTACCATATGCTAAATTTTACACGTTTTAACTCTAGAATGTATTCACGCATAGAAAAAAGAAGGGGAGGGAAAGAACTAGATAGAGTTAAAAGAGTAAAAAACAAAAAAAAACGTGTACATCCATCCCTACAGAAACCATACGAGGAACAGAAACCTGAATAAAACAATTCGTTTTATCTCCAACCAGCATAAAATTCTAAGAAAAAAAATTAACTGACTGGTAGTTAAATTGGATAACATTGTAGTGTTTTGGTGTACTTCTACTTACCTGGCACCGATTAATACGTGATCCCCATCTTGTTCTAGTAATTTGAAATGATCCACGTGAGTTTGATTACCGACGAATTTCATTACACTGTCTTCTGCTGCAAAGGTTATATAAATATTTATGTACTAGAGTTTAATTATAAATAAACAGATTTCTAGAGCACTAGCAAAGTTTTGAGTCATACGATAATTATTTTAACTGCTAAAGATAAGAAGGGAATGCCGAACTTGTAACAACTGTAATCAGTACAAAATGCAAGGCAGAGTACAGTGCCTCCCATACCTCCTGCAGTTAAACAACAAGGAAAAAGCTCCTGCATTTACCTTCATATATCAATGAAAAGTTTGCAACTGACAAACCATCCTCCCGACTTTCCAATAGAGCCTTGAGTAATCGGGATCTCATAGGTGGTTAGGTGCTCCCCAGTGTTACAGGGAATACAGGAATTAGAGGGTGTAACGCGATTAAACAGGACCAGGGTTGGTCATTTTGCAAATTTCGACTGTACCCAGGAGTAGCAACTTCAATTGTAAAGGATTTGTATAGAGAACTTAACCATTATAATGCAAATAAGAGTTAATTTTGAGGTTGCAAACCCTCTTCTGGGCATCAGATTTGTTAAAATATTCCAATAGAACATGATACAATTATAATTTAAAGTTAAAAAGATGAGATTACAATTTTAGTTTCCTATTATGCAAAAAAAAATCTTTCTAAATTGTACATTCAATACTTTCGAATTAAAATAAATACGTTAGAGTATTTCAAATCCATCGATTCCTACAGAAACTAAGAAGGATCGTTCTTCATTAAAAAAAAAAAAAAAAAAAAACTATTTTCTCTCCAATTCTCTATATTAAATACCGAAAGATGTCGATAATTTACTAAGAAACACTCGATATCCACTCGATAAAAGCCCATCTTCGATTACCTTCCGTAACAAGTGATTAAATAGAAGAAAGTGGGCAATAGGAGTAAGAGTGATATCATTGATATAAAAACCGGCTCCCCTTTAACGCGGAAACGGGATGTGAAGAGTGGGAGAGACAAAAAAACATCATCCGACCTCGAGCAAGACCAATAATTAACCAAAGATAGCGAAAAAGGTGAACAACCCAAGTGCATCTGTCCCTAGGGTACATACAGGAGATAAGGAAACGCATTAAGACCCAGCCAAGCACCCCAAGGGATTTGAAGTGGTTAAATATTTCTGAACTTAGTTTAGACGGTCCAGAGAATGAGAGGTAGACACAGTGCGGTTCGATATCCGATGAGGAGTGATTCACAATAATTACTTTACACAGTTTTAGGTCGAAAGGGTATAATGTACGGTCCGTGTCGAATTAAGCCAAGTGTACTTTTGCGGTGGATAAGTTAAGTGGTTTTTGCTTTTACGTTCGCTTTAAAATTTTCTTCTCTAAAGTAAAGTCTGCTGGCACGTGTTGGCCTAATTTTTAGTGATCGTTTTTAGATATAAACTAACGATTCTTGGTATTTGCAGCGAGCTTCACACTCGATCCCGGCTCTAACAAACTTCACCCTCTCCCAACTCAATTTCATCAACAACCTTCTAAATCTATCTGGAACGAAATAAATTTAATTACGAAACTTCGATAAAGGACCCTCTTCGATTAAGAAGACCCAAGATTATTTTTTATTCCTGTTTTTTTTTTACTCTGGAATTAATTTCATCCAAACTATTTTAAGAAGTTTAGTTCGGATGTTTATTAAATTTTTTTTTTTTAATTATAAAAGATAATTTTAAATTAAATACTTAGAATTAAACGAGGAGTTAAAAGATAAAGTTAAATATAATTACAGAAAAAACGTTAAGAAGATCAAAATCGAGAAAAGAAAATGAGGAATAAATCCTAGATATAGAAGAGTTAAGAAGTTACATACAGAATAAAAAAAAGAGTAAAGAAATTAAATCTAGACGAAGAGTAAAAATTTGATAGAGAGAGAGAGAGAGAGAGAGAATCGAACTTAAATAAAGAATTAAATTTAGGTAAGGTTACATTTCTAGTTAAAAACTTAACTAAAGGAAGAGATAGATTTATGCAAAATATAAGCAACGAACACGTTTGAATGGAAAGAAAGGCAAAAAAAAATTAATTCAACGAAAGAGAAGATTAAAAAACAAATCTTGAAATGAAATCAAACTCAAATAAAGAAATAAAATTTAGATAGAAGTTAAATTTCTAGTTAAAATCAAACTACAAAAAAAACCGTAACTAAATCTAATTTAAATAAGAATGTATTTAAAAAAAAATAAATTCAATGTATATAAATTATATCTAACTAATAAATAAATTAAATTAAAAGTTTATAAAGTATTAAAAAAACCAAAAAGATAATTTAATCGATAAATTAATCAAAAATAAATAAGAGAAAATGAAACCAATATGGAATAAAAATTTAATTCTTATTGCAAAAAGGAAAAAAAAACAGGAGAGAAGTCAATTGTAAAAACTGTTTAAAAAGGAAATCGAAAATAAATACAGGAAATTGGTGCTAACTAATTCTATTTTTAAAAATGGAAGCTACGACAATGACAATCTTCTGGTAACACCAATCTATTAAAGACACTTCCCTGGACATTTTACGTCACATACTTCAATTAATAAAGGAAAGATCAAAGGCCGGCAATTAACCGAGTTATTAGTCTAATAGGTTCGTCGTTCTATCCACCTGTTGTACATTCATTACCCACAATAAGAAAAATCTCGTAATTAATACATTCTCAGTTATAATAATTACTCCGGGCAATAGCTCTAAAATTACGATACACTTCATATAATTCACCTTATTATAAAAATAGCCGGAATGGATTTTTTTTCTTCTTTACTTCGCTTCTGTTATACAGAATTTTGTATCGTAAACGAGATATCATCGGCCCTCGTGGCCACAAAGTTGAAGTTTTGTGAAGTGATTAGGGGGAAGTAAAGACCGGGTTCGAGTCCAGCTCCGGGCTTTAACCCGTCCGTTTCATTTGTCTTGTCAATATGGACGCTTAAACAACGAAACGAAACTACAAAAAAAATAATAATAATAGTGTATAAAACTTTTATAAACTGATAAAGTTTTGAACTAAGTTTTTCCCCCTCTCTCCCAACTCTTTCCTTCGGGACTTGCTTTGTCCATGCTGTTTATAATAATTTTTATATATTTTTTTAAATTTTTTTTTAGAAAAACTTACAAACTAAATTTATAAATCTTTTTATAGTAAAGAATAGTTTGTATAAGTATAATATTTTACACAAAAATTAAACTAAGTACCGTTACTTTACGCTTATAAAAAATAGCGCTCTCGAGGGTAAAAACAAAAAACGTTGATATTTCCATTCTTTGTTTTTTTGGAAAAGAGAAAAAAAAAAGTTAATTCCCTTTTGCCTTTTTGGAAAATAAAAATAAATGTATCAGATAAAGGTAAAAGGAAACCTAAATAGCCTTAACCATATAATTCGTGTGTGTTATTCAATTTGTGGGTTTATGATTTCAGTCGATATGAATGACCATACATCAAAATAGGTTAAGATTAATGGTAACAAAGAGGGAAGAGGGAATACTCGGTTCCACACGCTCCCAAATCACGAGGAGAGCATCTCTTGGGAAGGAATTCACGTAAGATAAGTCTAGTACTCGTGGGTAAAGATTTTCAGGGGATTTTTTCTGGTTTGGATACAACTGAAATCCCATTAGAGGTTTTCGGAGATCACATCTAAGGATATTTTATGTAGTTTTACTTTTCGATTCCGAGATGAGATAGAATCCATAAGTCACTATTAATAATAATACAAAAAAAAGACCTGGAAAAGACGTTTCGGATGCTGAATTTTGTATATTAAAACTTTGAAAATCATTATTATTTGTAGATAACAAATAACTGAAACAAAGTTGGTAACTATAAAATATAAGTATTGATCCAAATGTTAACTATTAAGGGAAATTTCTGGCTATTAAAATACAATTTTCGTCTATCTTCTCATTTATCGTTATCTTTAATCGATAATTATTAACAATATCGACGTTTCAATCTTCTAATTTATTTTTCAATGAATCGTTTCGGCAGAGGCGAGATAGATTCTGGTCAGTTAGTAGTTATTTATTGTTTGATCGACTCATCTACCGCGATTAACATAAACCCTGCAGGGCCTTTAAAAGCCCTTTCGATCGACACGAACAAACAGATGATTTTTAAAACGTCTCTTCCTACTTTTAGAATGAATTAATATAGTAAAGTAGACCAAGATCCTTCGCTCCACTTCTCCATCCTTCATCAAAGAGACCGATCCAAATGAATGCTGTCCATTCACATTGTATAATTTTCGCATTAAACCATACTTTTAACCACATGAATCAACAAAATTACAACCGGATTTCGTCGGTTGGAGGCTTTTTTCTTTATTGATTTCTGGAAAATTTTACGCCTCCAATCACTGACCTTCATCACAATCATTGCTTCACATTAAAAACTCATCACGGCGATGAACTGGAGTGATTGATTGACTTACTTCCTTGCATCTAACAGTAAAATCGTGGATTAAACTAGTGAAAAAATTTGAACGAGGACGGCCTGCGGGCAAAATGAGTACAAAAAGAGGGCGGGAGGATGTCCAGAATTGGGACTTTGGTGCTATTAATAAAATGAAGGATCCATATGCAGTTAAACCAGTTATAAAACAAACGAAGAACATTTATTGAGTCCCGGAGAACAAACTTAACGTCTAGCTAAACCCCCGAGGGTCGACGGCAACCTAAAATATACAAAAATCTACACGGTATCGATCCTTTTCGTCTTCCTGCCTTTTGAGAATAATTAATAATGAGATTTCGAGAAGGAAATTGCGCATTTCCTCTGTTTTATCCGAGAAAGCGGGATGTTATGTCCTTTGTAGATACTGGATTTCCTTCAGAAGAAATGAAATTCTTACTTTTGGATGAAGAAATATAGTCCCTTAAGAATGACTTTAAAAGGAAGAACGATAAATACTGGTAAAACCAAATGGAAAGTAGAGAAGTGATCCTAAAATGGAAACCGTTTCTCCGATAAGAGAAAGTAATCCGAACCTTTAAAAGTCACAAAATTCTCGACCTCTTCCTTACTAAGAGTATCAAACGATCGTACGAATAACATCACCAGAAGCAAGAGGAAAAGAAAGGGGATCATATTTTGCAACGACTAAAATACCACTGGGATTAGAACATTAAAACATTTTTGTTGATTTATTTATTTACTTTATTTATTTCTTTTTGATAAGTTTAAAATGTCATTTTTCGAATTTCTCTCGAGTTCCTGTTTTCTGGTATGATCACTTTTTTATGTCATTTATTTTGTTGGAGATTTCGTTTCGCTCAATTTACCTTCAAAGAAAGACATTTCTACTTATGTTTGTTTCTTGAAAAAAAAGAATTTTTTTCCTTGCTCTTTTTTCGAGTTATGTCAAAGCTTGTGCATTCTTGAGAACATTATATTTTTGCGCGGCTCGCTCCAATTCCTACGCTTTATTTTTTTTGCTCCAGTAACTTGCACCGTTCTTTGTACAATCGTCACCTCTCGTACCGACCCAACATCACTTTTCGCTCTTCCCCCGTGCTCCTAAATGTCAATTCTGTACTTTATTTGCTTCCCCGAATGTCACTTTTGCACTTTGTGCTCCCAAGAACTACTCCTCCTCCTCAAGGCTAGGGCGACGCTTCGAGAAGCTAGTATCGATTGCAACACGCGCGTTCCTCTTGTAGGAGTTGAAGATCGATTGGGGATTTGGGGGCCACAGCCAAAATAACACCAGGGCAAGAGAATTCCAGTCGTTAGAGGCACAGTATAATGCTCTAAGCGTTAAAAGAACCCCAGTCTCGTAACTCGTTAGAGTTCGACTCGTCAGTCGGGGAACGAATAACCTGCCGATTCCGTGCATGTCGACAATTTGTCTCCTTGGGCGGCAATTTGCGAACGATCGGTCAAAACATACGCTGGCAGCACACACAACCCGAAGGGGTCACTAGCCGTTAACGTGTCTTCACTAGATCGTATAATACGTTAAAAATCTATCCACTGCTTCAAACCTCGTGCATCAGTTGATGTATTCAATAAAAACAACGAATATACATACACTTCAAGAATGAAAAACACCTTAAAAGATTATTCTGAATAATAAAATGGCTATAGAAAAGCAGCAGAAGGTACTGCATGCCCCCTAGACTAAAAGAATAGGAGGAAAGGTTAAACGACACGGAAAGTTGAAGGTGGATACGTATCACAACGTTCTATTCAACCGTTGTCAGTGAGGATAACGAGCACCACCTGGAAAGATCAAGAAAAGAAGGAAATAAGAGTTAGGTGGAGGATAAATACAAGAAAAAAAAACCTAATTTCTTCCGTTTGTTTAAGCTTCCACAGCCTTTCTAATTGGGAGTTTTGCGTCGCAGCGAGATCCTTCTTCTTTTATGCGCTTTGGCTACAGACCAAGAGTCCAGATGTCCAGAGAAAGGGAGAATTGATCTATCCTGGTAAGGGAGAGGCAAACGATCGCTTAGTTGTGGCAGGAGAAAGCGGCAGATGGCCGACACTGTTATAAAAGATCGTGAGCGGATGGGAAGCACACTAATTGTGGGCGTTGTTGACAACAGAAAGGAAGTAAAGAATTCTACTTAAGATACCCAGAAAGAGGCGTATCTACTATTTTCCGATAGAAAGCGACTCGATGTACTTTTCTTAAGATTAAAATCTTCATCTACCATCTTGAAAAAACACAGGGGAAAAAATAGAAATTCTGATAATTAAAAGGTGAAAGAGTACATACAAACCGGTTGTGAATGACATTTTTAAAGGACTCGTTCTACGTAATAAAGCTGTAGGAGAATAGTGACGATAGTTTAGTCGCATTTTTTTTTTAATTATTATTTTTATCATCAACCTAATTGACTAATTATCTAAAATCTTTATGAACTGTTGAACTTTTAAACTCGACACCTCGCTAAATCGTGTCACAAGAGTTGCATTTTCAAAATCGCTTCTAAGAAAAAATATTGCAAAATTTTAGAACTTCTTTATTACTAGCAAACAACAAAGTACTGTGGGATGAGAAGAGTGTAGTGTACGATTACAAGTGTGTTGCCAGCTATACCGTAAACAAATGTTCCTCCTTGAACGATTCATTGTTGAGGTTTACAATCGGGAATGTGTGGCGTGCTGCCACAACCACGCCGGAAACGCAACTCATAAGGGAAGGGACATGACAGGAAACCACGTGATCCTATCGCCGCCGGAAGTACTACGGACGAAGGATATAGACTAAGTCCATCCGGGACCGGTCACGCCAGGGAGCAGGTGAATAGGACGAAATGACGCACGTGGCCCGGCCAGGTGATGGGTGAGTCACCTCGACAGTGACTCTTCTCCCAAACCGCAACCAGATAGCCCACCCGCTTTCGGACGAAGTGGCGTCGACAACGTCGAGTAAATTTAGAATATTCTCCCGGGAGCGAATTAATCATTGGCCTGGTTTAATAAATTGATAAACAATCACGTGACCGAATGGTTTATGTCTTTTAGGTGAAGTGTTGGTTTTCTACCATTAGTCATTACCTAGGTTGGGAAAGAAAGAATAAAAAAAAGTAAAAAGGCTCCTGGTTGAAAACACTCACCTTCCTTACCTTTCCCCATTATTTTCGGATGAATCACGAGAGTATGTCATGTTACACCGGAAATATTACACTAAAACTTACAGAAAGACAAACACGCTCCTCTAATGGAAGCCCGCTTCATTAACGATGGCTAATTGGAAGTTATTAATTTCTGCAGATGAGTCATGTTTTCTGGCCATCTATCGTGTGTAAAAGTTCATCACGAAAACCCATCACTACTTAACAGAGTGGGTCCTGTATCAAAACCAGCTGCGCCCAAACCTATGTCTACCTTTTAAAAGGGATGAAACGGTTAAACAGGAGGTTGAACTCTCATCAATCGGGCTGGACTGTGCCACATTCACTTATCTTACAACATAAAAAGAAAATTCGGCGATGTTGAGCACGATATAAGTCTCCTAACAGAAAAAGATAATTAGCTTTAATTACAATGCGGAAATCCATTAGCAATTTGGTTAAGTCGCGTATATTAACGAATTCGTAGGTCGTTGAACACCCGTTCCTGAGGGAGGGGATGTAATTAATGGCGTATCCGAGGCAACCAAGACAGGAGTCAACAAAGGGGACTGGCTGCGCTTTCATTTAGTCGTCCAAACTGCGAGTAAACATTCGTTAAGACTCGAGCCTCGATAGGATCGATAAGCGAAGGCGATGGTGCACAGTCGATCTATCACCCCAAGGCGCACCAAAAACAATCCTATGTTGCACCTATGATTCGGAAATCGATGCGAGTATCTCGCCAGAAGTAAAGATACATAAGAAGAAAATGTAGGGTACTTACGTAATTGTGTGATAGTAAACTTTGGCAGGATGGGTTCTTGCCAGGCGCAGTTGATCGGCATTCCTAGCAGAAGTAGAAATATCACACATACCACCAGATATCGGTGGTTGTTTAGGGTATAACCGAGTTTCATCTTCATTAGGTGCATTTGCTTCCAGTCAACATATCTCGATCTGAAACAGGTTAAGAAAATAGCTGTATTAATAACCCGGAAATTATGGGTTCTGTCTAATTTTATAAATATATTCGTGCCTGTGTGCTTTTAGAACCCTCAGTTAAGGAGATCCATGACGGTCGATTAGTTCTGGGAGCTTAAAGAACGGTTACTTTACCTCCCCAGCGGACTCTTTTTTTTTTTAAGTTTTCCGTTTTGCATGCGCAGTATGGACGGGATGAGGACCACACCGATCGCAACCGGTCTACACTAGCACAATTACCTGTATCGAGTCGGTAGTTGACCTTCGAAGTCTGCAGCGACCACCCAGGATGGGGTCTTACTTACAGCGGTGTACAGAGGGCGAGTTCGGTTATAGGAGGCCCGGCTCTTGCTCCGCACATTTGCATTTTCATAATAATTCAAGGTGCAACCGCTGGAAGTCGAATCCCAGTCAAAAAAAAGAGAGAAAAAGAGAAAAAAGAAACTGGAAAGAATGATGTCTTGTAATAAGAGGCGGCTCTACGAAAATCTGATGCTGGTAATAAAAGAGGAAAGTCTGTGGTAAAACAGTGAGATACAACAATGAAAAGAGAAAGCCGCATAAACAAAAACGGAAAAAAAACTGAGATGCGAATGGCATTTAACTAAGAAAAAATCGATAGAAGTGTAAACAGTCGAAAACTTTTGTTAATTCCTGAGACGATGCTTCCAAACATCCATCAAAAATGACCCAGTTCCATTCTAGAGTACGCCACGCTCCCATTTTATTGCTGTTTCTGCGACCCGTAACGCCTAGAAACCTTACATAAAGAACTTTAAAAAGAAAGAAAAACAGATACATACTAATGTAAACGCAACTAAAATGTTCGAGCCTTTCCGACGAAATGAAATTCATTTTGTCAAGTAGCAATGGCTCCGTCTGTTGCAGCTTGTTATTCTCCACAGACTTTATTTGTCCATCGAATTTTTCGCTATATCGTTAAAGATAATGAGACGTGACATCAGTCGTGCATGACAGGATCTACTTATAGGAGAGAGCCTAAGAAAGGAGTTAGGAAACAACCGTGCACCGAGAACAGATGCTATACATCGGTCTTTACCTACTTCTCTACAATCGGGATTCCCTAGGATACTTTCTAAAATAAACCGAAGTAAAATCGAATAAATGCCGTTTAGAGTAAAAAGTTTTGTTGCTGTTAGTGTTTTTTTTTTTTTTTTACTGTATATTTAACATATTGTGCGATACACGAAGACTTTTTCGAAATAAAATTCACCTGTTTGAAGTTTATTCGTGTGTTTTTATTGGTGAGAAATTTACGTGTCTATCGTGACTAATGTTTTTACGTGTAATTTCCGGTAAAAGTTTACTTTTTTACACTTTACTATCGTCTTGTTTTGGTGAGAAATTTCACACTTATACAGCAGCTCGTTATTGTTTACACACAATTTATGTGTGTGTAAACAACAACGAAGTAATGGAACTAGAACAACCGTTATGTATAAAAGTCCACCCTTTAAATTTACTTTATTTAAAAAGAATTCCATTCTCATATATTATCAATAAAAAAAAAGCAGTTGTAATATTCATAAAACGTAAACTTCATCCACAGCATAATATTCTCGCATTATAACTCGCAAAAACGTGCCATACACGCATCATCCCAATAGGCACAAACGTGTTATCTCGGCGCTGTCACAACTTAAACAAAAATTCCAAACTAGTCGATCATCTATTAAAACATGACAAATATTCACATGCATTTTTACTATTTAAAAAATTATCTTATTTTTTTTTCAAAAATAATAAAGAAAAACTCGAGCGTGACCGAACCATACCAACTGGAAAGAAATCTTCTAATTAAAAAAAACAAAACAAAACAAGAGAGTAAGTAAGAGGTTATTCACCAGATATTTTCCTCGTTTTTTTTTTAAATCTATAAAATGTTTGTTGCCGTATTGTTCTGGATTTGTGATTCGAATTTGGACAGTTCTTCTTCCACTTACACAATCAGTAAATTTGTGCTTCGGGGCATCGATTCATTCGGCAAAGTAATAACGTACGTCATTCCACAAATTCGAATAATTACGCAGTTGCCACCGAATATTATTTTCAATCATTGTCTTTTCGAATTAAACAGCGCAAATTAGTTTGAAAATAATTTTCGAGTTGGTTTGTGAAAAGATAATCAAACTGTATCAAATGATTTCTACGATTCATATTTGTGTACTTTTCCACACATGTTATTTGATTTCCTATGATTAGACATTCGTGTCCATTTCTATTGTTTTCTTTTCCTTTCTTTGTATGAAACAAACGATCGATTTCTACTTTATATTGCCTATTGTTTTCTAATTTACACCGTCTTTGCGTATTTTCTTCGTATTCTCCAGCGTAAACACGATATATGTATATATTCATTGTTCAAAAGTTCATTATACGATATAAACGATTGGCATTACTTTCTTAAATGTTCATTATATTCCTCCACATATTATTCAACATTATCTCGATTCTTCTAGAATATCACACTTTTCTCTACTTATATTCGATATTCTTCTGCATCTATGTAATCCGGAATATGTTCTTAAACTTTCTAGAAGCTTGTGTTGTAACAACGTGTAAGAATCGTACAGGATGAATCAACTGGTTTATATATTAAATGGTGCATCTTAACGTCATGCCACGTACTGTATTCGGGAATTTACTGTAATTTCTCAAGAATGTATTAGTAACAAATGTTGAAACAAAGTGAAAATCATGAATTTTTTATTATAAAAACATGAAATTTTACTAGAATATTTGATTTAATAAATTACAGATTGTATTCTCGCAATTACAGCGACACTTTCAACATCTCTTTCCCCTTTCATGGAAATTCCAGATTGAATTTCCTTGTCTTCTGTCGTAATCAGGATTTCGTTGATTGGTTTTCTTGATCGCATTATTGATTCTGGCACTATTCTTTTTTAGAGTTGTATACAATTCTCCTAACTGTTATTGACAAACTAAATTTCTTCGTACGAAATATTTCAAAAACTTCAATTTTCAATATGTAAAACACACCGTACATTTAACGTTTTTAAATATTTTCTTCTTCCACATAATCAATTTATATCGATACGCACATAAACAAATATCCAATTTAAAATTTTCGAAATTGATAAAACAGTTCAAAATTATCGTCTATCCGTCTTTTAACGAAAAGAAATCTCTTAAATAAACAATCAATAAATGTTGCCATCTTCACAAAATTCTTCATACCAATAAAATTCGAGCCTAGAGCGTGTAGTTAAAAGAACAGAACAATTATCCAGCGCATTATAAGCGATAAGATAAATTTTCTCAAACTATTCATTATTCCTAAGAGAATATCCTTTAAGTTAACTTACTCTCAACGCTTGAGGCTAAGTTTTACTAATATAAAAGATATCAGACGGGGAGTGACGAACACGGTGACGAGTTAAACGAAGAAAGAAAATTGTAAAACCCTTTTAAAACTTTAGAGAAAAGATTTTTCCTAACTCGATAATAGTAAAATAAATGTAGTTAATCGTTATTAAATCCTTAGTTTTCTTATCGGGAAGAGAAATATCAACAAACAAAACATCTTATCGAAACTGATAAAGTCATCAGAAACAGTTTAATTTTTGAAATGAGCTTTTATCAGTTAGAAGAGGTGATGCCAGACGGCTACTTTTAATCCGGATTTTCGGAATTTAGAAAAATTTTTCTTCTCTCTTCGAAACATTTTCTTCCTGTTAGGATACGTTTTATCAATCGTGATAAAATGTTTCCAAACAGGATACGCTTCCTGGAAAGGGATATTGATGCTTTTCAAAAATAAATTACGGTACTCCCATACATTTTTATGATGCTGCCTTTACCTTGTGTGATCAGCGAATATTTCAAAACTTCAAAATAAAAAAATATTAAAAAAAATCATATCTTTATACCCTATGAAATATATATATATATATTCCTATCTAACGATAAACTTACCACGTTACGGCGTCTAATTTCAGTGAAGTATCAAAGAAAATATTTCTCTCTTTTTATGATAGTTAAATTTCTATAGATTAGTTTTCATACTGTCATAATGCTTTCAATTTATTTTTATTATAACAGCTTAAATTTTTCTAATTAAAGCAATTCTTGTTTTGGATACTTTCACCATATGGTAAATATATAAAATGCTAATATAAAGTATTAAAGGGCACATCTTTTTATAGTAATGAAAGCATCATTTAAAATATTTTCCTCGTTATTATTTAGGTTTTAATGAATATATATCGCTTAGAATTCTATTTTCTATAAATTAAAAAAAGAAAATTAATATAGGTAGATGTTTTCTAACATAAAAATATCATATGTTATTCAGTAACTTACACCACAAATGCCTTATATATTAATCTGCAATTTCATTAAAAACATTCCTACTTATTTCATTAAAAATTCTCAATTATAAAAAAAATAATAGTTACATTAACATAATTTTCCTGCATTAATTATATGATACAGAAAATTCTTAATCTTTTAGGTTATCGAAGTATAGCATGTGCACAAATTATCTTAAGTATAGAATAACTAACAGCTATGCTCTTATATTTTACCTTCATTCTCTACTCCATACGGACAATGTGATGAAGGTACTTTACTGGAGAACTTTATGAGATGAATCCCCACGCAATAGTAGCGTAGAAGCTAAGATATGAAGGCAATTTATCACATCTAAATCAAGAGATGCAGCCAATTTACAGCAGCATCGACAGCAACTAAGATAAAGTCAATTTACCACAGAAAAGACAGGGATTAATAAATAAAAGTCAGTTTACCGCAGCATGTACAGTACGAAAAGCTCGCATATATTATATTACAGCGAAGACACGTCGAGCAGAAGTCCTAAAAATACTAAATAACTTTCTTCCAGAAAGACACGAGAAGGAAATAAAACCATCAACAGGAATCACCAGCTATAGCAATCCGTTTCTTCTCAGGATATGCATCCTGGAAAAGGA